GCACATCTGATTCTGGCCAACTTGCTAGAAACACTCGCCTCAAAGAGAAAATTTTAACAGCTTCTGTAGATCTTGGGCCCTTTCGATCCCCACGTGCTGTCATCTGTAAATATCTTTCAGGTTCCATTAGACTCTAAGGTGTTAAACATGTGTCACAGAGATAGGAACAGTTCTGGCTGTTTCCGATAAATGGAGATTTCTAGCAAAGATATATTGTCACCATTACTTTTAAATTAGACCAGTGTTGTTCCTTCTGAATCATGTTACACGTGTCTCAGTCACTGTTCTGTTGCTGTGAAGAGACACCATGAGCAAGGCAGCACGTATAAGAAAGCATTCAGTTGGGGCTTGATTATAGTCTCTGATGTTAGTTCATAATTGTCATGTTAGGAACATGACAGCAGGCACGGTAGGTACAGGAACAGTAGCTGACAGCCACACCCTGTTCCTTAGGCAGAGAGAGAAACTCTGGGCTTATCATGGGCTTTTGCAATCTGAAAGCCCATCCCCAGTGAGACCCTTCCTCCAACAAGGCCCCACCTCCAAATTCTTCTAATCTTTTCAAATAGTACCAATCTTTGTTGGCCAAGCATTCAAATGCATGAACCTATGTGAGTCAATCTTATCCAAACCTCCACACTCAGTGCCATCTGCCCTGCTGGCAGGATTATACCCTTCCTGAAAGGAGAAGCATTACTTCATGGTGGTTGTTACCCAGTGCTATTCCCATTGAGCCTCCCAAGCAGAACCATGTTCTTTGATATGGAAATGGAGCCTAATTTGCAACAATCTTAACAAAAAATATTAACAGAAATATGTTCTCAGAAGCCTATACTGCAGCAAGCTTTAACTACAATTACATCCAAGGTACAAGTGTTTCTTACAGTTTCTAACAAGTCTGATGAGTTTATTCCTTATCACCAGTCATAGTAGAGGCAGCAATGCTTTAGCCAAACTCTGCCTTGTGCAACTCAGTATTTCCTAAGCAAGTTTGTTTCTTCTGACTCCACTGTAGCTGCAATTCATTACTCTCAGTTTTCCTATATCACACCTATGACTTGTTTATCTCTTTGAGACAAGGTTTCATGTAGACCCAGGCTGACCTCCAGCTCAACAGCAGCAAGAGATGATCCGGAGTTTCTGGTCTAGTTCATTTACTTGTCCAGTGCTGGCCTTACAGTATAAGTCCAATGCCCACAGCCACACTGTGATGTAGTACTGCTCGGGGCATCCACCATCCATGAAAACCTTCATGCTGGTGGTATAACCTGAAATTGCTAGGTCTTCAGAAGCAGAAGGGTGGCCAGGGGAGGGGTTCCTACTTCTCAATCTGTGTCTAGGTGTTTTCACGGTGCAGCAACAACATCTGTGCTGACTAACCAAGGCCCTTCTTCCCTTATGCTTGGCAGCTTCGAGACAAATACGGAGATGTGTTCACAGTGCACCTGGGGCCGAGGCCCGTGGTCATGCTGTATGGGACAGAGGCCATAAGGGAAGCTCTGGTGGACCAAGCTGAGGCTTTCTCTGGCCGGGGGACAATTGCAGTGGTTAAACCTACCTTCAAGGACTATGGTAGGAGTCTCCAAGGTTGGGATGAGTTGGAATGGAGAATGGGCACAGACAGAGGAAAATCCACTAGAAGGGAGGACAGGGGTGGGGAAGGTCCCAGGTTTCTTTGAGCGTCCTCTGTAACTCACTCATGCTTCTCTTACTTTCTTAGGTGTGGACAGGGGTGGGGAAGGTCCCAGGTTTCTTTGAGCGTCCTCTGTAACTCACCCATGCTTCTCCTACTTTCTTAGGTGTGATCTTTGCCAACGGGGAACGCTGGAAGGCCCTCCGGCGATTCTCTCTGGCCACCATGAGAGACTTTGGGATGGGGAAGAGGAGTGTGGAGGAGAGGATTCAGGAGGAGGCCCAGTGTTTGGTAGAAGAGCTGCAGAAATCCCAGGGTGAGTCCCAGAGAAAGGGCGTTAAGGAAAGTGGTCAAGCAGGAACATGAGTGCACAGCTAATGCCAAACGCAATGTGGAGGCAGAACTGGATTGATAAGAGACAGTTTATTAAGAAAGTACTCAGGCAACGGAGCCAGTGACCAGGTTTACACTGGATGTCTGCTCGGCCACTCAGCCAGGTGGGAGAGGGAAAAAGAGGGTCACTTGTGTGCCTCTCTGATATTTAAACCCTTGCTATGTCACTCTGACCACGCCCAAGCAGTCATGGTCAGTGGCACCTGTGACAGCCCCGTGGGGGCATGGTCAGCATTTCCTGTGTCCAGCCCCACGTGGGCATGGTAAACATTTCCCCATACACACAGCCAAAGAAAGAGTCTAGAGACACACATGGGCAGAGAAAGAGAAAAAAACCACACACACCCACACACACACACACACACACACACACACACACACACACACACACACACTGGGGAGAGGATGGGGGAGAGAAATACAGAAAGACAGAGAAAGATATACGAAGTTGACAGTGTCCAAGAATAACCCAGAGACAAAGACTGAGTGATTCCCACACTGGGGAGAGGATGGGGGGAGAGAAATACAGAAAGACAGAGAAAGATATATGAGGTTGACAATGTCCAAGAATAACTCAGAGACAAAGACTGAGTCATTTGCGTGCTGGCTACATACATCCAGGGAAATCAATGCCTGGGTTAAGAATAGGTGTCAGTCTGGCATGATGGCACAAGCCTGTCATCCCAATACTCTGGGGGATGAGATAGGAAGGTCATAAATTCAAAGCTAGTTTGGCTACATCATGAAATCTTGACTCAAAGATAAAAAGTGCTTGATGCTGTGGTGTAACGGAGGCATGCTGGGCTTGCCCGGCACACACACATTTGCATGCTGCTAATCATGGTACAGGTGAAGTAGAGAGAATAGGTGTCAGTCTGGCATGATGGCACAAGCCTGTCATCCCAATACTCTGGGGGATGAGATCAGGTGAAGTAGAGACAGGAGTTTAGATGCTGAGGTCATCCTTGGCTTTATATGGAATACAAGGCCATCTTGATGACATTAAATAGTCTCAAAACATTGTCTGTGTCCAAGGCTAGATTAGGCAATCAAAAGCACTTCTGGGCAATTATAAAAACTACTTAGGAGGGGCACTCTAGTGACCAAGTTTGGTTTTGGTATCTCATTCACATGTTGGAGTTTTTGTTTTTGTTTTTGTTTTTGGTTTGGCTTGATGACATTAAATAGTCTCAAAACATTGTCTGTGTCCAAGGCAAGATTAGTGTTTTTCTAGTGGTTGTCCTGATGGTGTTTTACTTTGTGGCAGTCAAAAGCACTTCTGGGCACTTATAAAAAGTACTTAGGAGGGGCACTCTAGTGACCAAGTTTGTTTTTGGTATCTCATTGACATGTTGGAGTTTTTGTTTTGGTTTTGGTTTGGTTCGGTTTGGTTTTTTGAGACAGGGTTTCTCTGTGTAGCTTTGGAGTCTATC